ACAGTTGCGGCCCACACCACTTACTTCTTTCCAAATAGCGTCCTTGAAAAGTGGAGAGCCTTCATCTACAGCCGTACAAACACTATAAATGATCTCTCGCCAGATAGGACTCTCGACATCAGTCTGACTATGATTTTTTATGGCTAAAGAAAAATCCCTAAAACCTTTGTCTTTTGGCATATATCCCTCTGAGGAATGTGCCCTCTATTCTACATCCATTCTGAATTGTAGCAGCGTATCGACTGCTTATGTGGCTGATACACGACTTGCGGTTGCAAGCCTAGGTACAGGCCAGTGCAGACGAGTCTGGTACCAATTACCCGACCCGGGATTGAGGAACTGGATAGCCTAGGCGCTCATTGATCCGGGATAAACCACGGAATCCGTTTCTGTAATACTTGCTTTTATACCAACTCCGCCCTCTAAAGGTATGGGTCATGACAAGTTGTTCGAAATTCCTACAGGGGTTCCATTGTGAATGGTGCAGCCTCTGCAGTGCAGTTGAGACTCGTCCGCGCATACACACGGAAAAAATCTTTGAACCTTTATAACGGCCTATCTAGGCCGTTTACGACCTAACACCGCCACATATGGTCACGAAGGGGGGGGGGGAGCAGATTTATCCTAGCGGGATATCGTCTAGGCCACTTTTATTGTGAATTGTGCCCTCAACACGAAGAGCGTAATGGACTCGTGGACCCTGCCTTCTGTGAACCTTATCATCTTCTACGACCCCTTGTCATCTCCAGTGTTTCCACCCTGCCGCCTGAATTCCTCCCTTATTTGAAAACTGTAGGTCTAAAAGCACAGAAAACAAAAATGCTTCAAGGACATAACTAAGGAAGTAACTGCTAGAATTTTTAGAGAAGAGATACAAATTTCCTAAAACAATGTCGAATTAGATGATGTATCAAAACTATCTGAAACTGCCTATAGAGCTTACTATTGAATCGCTTTGTAATCCCTGCAGGTAACCTGCGATGTTTTTTAGATTATGTTCGATAGGGATCTCAGCCAAATGGACATTCTTTCTGGTGCGAGTGACTGTAATGGTGGTAAAGAGCTCCTATCCTAATCCATTTCCCAGCAATATTTCCATCATATCCGTTATCTTTGTGGTAAAGTTTCCATGGCGGAGCGTGCTGACAGTTCCAAGTCACCTATATCATCTGTCAGCCTGTCGATCATTGATGGGCTGGAGTGGGACGTTACATCAGCCCACCCCAGCACATCAAAGATCAACCAGCCGACAGATGATATAGGTGACCTGGAGCTGTCAGCAGGCCCCGTCATGGAAACTTTACCACAAAGATAACGGATATGATGGAAATACTGTTGGGAAATGGATTAGGATAGAAGCTCTCCACCACCAGTACAGTCAGGCGCACGAGAAAGATTGTCCATTTGCCTAATATAACGTCTTCAGTAATTCTCGTCGCGAATCGATGTATAATAGTTCAGTAAACTCCAATCTTTTAAGGAATACGTGACATACCAATCTTTCAAATCAGAGCTTCAGAAGAAGTCCAGAAGTTCCGTGACGGTCTACAGCTGCCCCTTTAGCGTGAAGAGAGATCTAATCGCTATATTTCTAGAATATATAGAGTCGCATCTCATGTTTACTATTTTTCCTACTACAGCAACTACTCTTGTTACCTCTTCGCTTTTCATGCTTTGCGAGCAAGAACCACCATTGCCTTTTAAGTTTTACATTGACAAGCATGATAAACACTTTACCTAGAACCATTGCCTACTTAATCCTTACTTTACCCAAATCAGTGAAGAACCTGTGAAGGCAGAGAAAGTAGTTTTGTCCGGTAATGAAGCGAAATAAGAAACTATTCAGCTTAGTTTAGTTATAAAAGGGTTTACTGAATTAAACCTCAAAGGTCCAAAACAGACTTTCATTGTCGTCATAAGTCACGCCTTTAAAGTTCCTTGAATTTCCTACATGGTAATCCCTTGAGATGGTGCAGCCTCTACAGCGCCATTGAAACTCGTCCGCTATGACTGTGGCATGCCCATACAACCTCCGAGCCCCTATAACGCCTCGTCTGGGCCGCATGCGATTTAACATATATTGACATATATAGACATATTTATTTACCAGTCGGATCGCCCGGCTAATGTACAACCTCCGAGCCCCTATAACGCCTCGTCTGGGCCGCATGCGATTTAACATATATTGACATATATAGACATATTTATTTACCAGTCGGATC